ATATTGTACTCAAGGAACTAAGTCATTGTACTCAAGGAAATAAATCATGTACTCAATAAGTCATCGTACTCAACGGAATTAAAATTCACTATTTTTTTTTCTTTCGTTATATTTTCTATTTTCCTTTATCTTTATTCTTTTTTCTATCCTTTATCATCTTTTTCCCCCATTTCATTTTATCTTTATTACTTTATTATCGTTTACATCTATATTTATCGCTCGTTCCTTCACACCAATTCTGATGTTATTAGCCAAATTTCTTCCCCCACTTCTGCACGGGTGATCCATAAAGGTGCCGATGCTGACGTGCAAAATTATCGTTTCCAGAATACTTCCTCCCCGCGAGACGGAATTTCGCGGGATACAAATTCGCGGGACGGAAATGTGTAGGAGGAGTTTTTACGATTACTAAAATACGCAGAGGTACAGAAAACTGAGACGCCTGGTTGATTATTATTATTATTATTATTATTATTATTATTATTATTATTGTTATTATTATTATTATTATTATCATTATCATTATTATTATTATCATCATCATCATCATCATCATCATCGTCGTCGTCATCATCATCATCATCATCATCGGCGTCGTCGTCGTCGTCGTCGTCGTCGTCATCATCATCATCATCATCGTCGTCGTCGTCGTCGTCATCATCATCATCATCATCGGCGTCGTCGTCGTCGTCATCATCATCATCATCATCATCATCATCATCATCATTATTATTATTATTATTATTATTATTATTTTTTTTTTTTTTTTTTTTAATGGATCTTTCTTACGTTGTTTTGTTTAGTTTTATTTTAGAAGCTTTTTTTCCGCTACAGGTGAAGACATGAAGGCGTATTAAGACCATTATATGTTGTTGTTTTTTGTTCTGTTGTCTGGATGTTATGTTGTTCTTGTTGTTCTGGATTTCGTTAATGTTCTTGTTGTTGTTAATGTTTTTGTTGTCGGTATTGATGTTTTTGTTATTTTTTTATGTTAATTATGCCGTTGATATTTTGATGATGTTAATGTTTTTGTCGTTATTATTGTTGTTTTTGTTATTACTGTGATTTTAATATGCTATTACGTCATTAAGAGGGAGAGAGGGAGAGATATGGTATTGGACAGGAGAAGACAGATGTATCACAATAGACAGATACCTTCAACACGTCTGTCAATTTCAGACTGAAACTCCACCTACACATTGACGAAGGTTAAAAAAAATGAAATTGAAAGCTGCCAAGTGAGCGGAAATTTACGTTAATATGATTGCAAAATTAACTTGTCCGTTGCATTACAAATATTCCTTTGTTTTTTTCCGAGCTATTTCATAAACCTGCATTATTTATCTAGTCTTTTAAAATTTGATTCAGATAAGTTATCTTTTTTTCAGATTAACTAGAATATATTAATTGATATATGGGGATTGAGGACACCATTGAATTTATGATATTAGGATCTCGTTACGTGTGAAAAAAGAAAAGATAATTTAATTAACTCTTAAGATACAGAAACCTGTGAATAACGTGGCTTAATAACCTTTAGATTAAATTCTGATACGTGTGAATATACCTGTTTACCGAGTCAGGTCGAGGCGTAATGAGAATGTGAACAATTGATGTATTAATGTCCTCCAATGAGAGCCAGGTGTGTGTGTATATCCACCAGGTGTGTATATCCACCAGGTGTGTATATCAACCAGTTGTGTATATCCACCAGTTGTGTATTTCCAGTATGACTTACTACAACGTCGTGGAGTTATTGACAGCTTAGTTCCAGTGTGTCAATATGTTGGTTGGTATAGTACAGGTCCGTCCACTCAGAGCCATATTGTATAGGTCAGGGGTGGGCAACCTTTTTGAGTGTGTGTGCCAAAATCGACCAAATCTTTGATACAAAATTTTCTCTCGTGCCAACCAAAATTTCCGGGTCACATATTATTTGGTATCTTTTACGTAATGGGAGAACCTTTTCAATACCAAGCTCAATATCGATTTACTCGACTAAAACACAATAAAAGGATATAAAACTAAAGATATTCTTTTATTGATTCTTAATCCTTTATGAATGATGCATAAAAACCACAGAGAAAATATAAAAGTTATTTTACCTACAAAAATACACACTGTATTATATTAAACCAAAGCGAATCCTTAATATTTTTAACAGAATACATCAAATGAAAATTACAGAACGAATAATTGTGAACCTTTTCTTTATTTAGAATCAATGAGACTTCTGCTGCTGCATCCCTGATGATAGATAATTTATATCCGGTTTATATTTTGTAACCTTGAGAGATATACATGCGCTACTAGTTTCATCAGTAAGGCTACTTCTATTATGAGACTTAACAGAGTTCATCACTGAGAACAATGATTCACAAGAATATGTAGATGAAAAAATGGATAGTAATGTTGTTGCAAGTTTTTTTAAACAGACAAAAGTTTCTGGAATAGTATTCCAAGTCCTCAGTACCTCGTTTTCGGCATTTCTCTCTCTTACTCCCTTCTCTAATCGATCCTTTTCAATACTTTCCAAGTCAGCTCTAAGCTCAACAAATTTCTGCCTCCAAATTGAGCTAGTTTGAAATTCAATCAATTGCATTTCAAAATCATCCATATCTATCCATGAAAACTTCTGCAAGTTTAGTTCATCCAGTTTTATACTGTCTGGAAACTTAATGAATTTTGCAGTCTCTTCTAATTCTCTGAACCTAGCAAATCTCGTTGAGAACTGCTCAACAGTTGACTCAATGATGTTTACAAATAGCTTCTGAAGACACTGGCAGTCTGTTTTGTCATCCTTTGTGAGATCATTGATGTATTTCTTTAGGTTTGGAAAGTATCTAAATCTTTCACTATCTACATCCCTCTTAAAAACTCCTAGTTTCATTTCAAATGCCTTTATGTAATCAAACATAACATCAAGTGTCTTACCAGAGCCTTGTAATTTAACATTTAAGTCATTTAAATGTTCACATAAATCTGCAAAAAACATTAGTTTACAAACCCACACGATGTCAGACATTTCTTTATAAGACATTTGTTGGTTAATCAGAAAGAGATTTATCTCATCCATGCATTCAACAAATCGTTTCAAAACAAATCCTCGACTAAGCCAACGAACATTGTTGTACATTGTTAGTCCTTTGTACACCGAATCCACCTCATTCAATAAATTCCGAAATTGTCTTTTATTTAAGGCACGTGCAGAAATGTAATTAACAACCTTGGTGACTGTTTGCATCACTTCTTGAAGTTCCCTTAGACCAGCTTTAGCACATAAAGCCTCCTCATGTATGATGCAATGAAAACCTATCAGCGGATGACCAACATGTTTTGCAAACAGATTTACAAATCCTGCTTCCTTACCAATCATACTGGGTGCACCATCTGTTGTGACGGATACTACTTTTGAAATGTCAATTTGTCGAATAGATAATTCGTTCACAACTGCTTTACATATGTCAGCCCCAGTGGTACGCTCAGGTAGTGTTACAAGGTTAATCATCTCTTCGCATACCTCATCATCCCTACAAAATCGAGAAAAAATTGCTAGCCTAGCTGATGATGTAATATCTGTGCTTTCATCAACACAAATAGAAAAGAACTTACATGAAGCTAAATCCTTTGTTAATTGGTCAGTTGTATTCATTTCCATCTTAAGTATCCTATCCTTAACTGTTTTTCTACTCACAGACAAATCTTTAATGCGCTGAATAATCTTGTCCTTTTCTGAAAGGTTATCAAAAAGGAAAGGAGCACATTCTAGCCATGCTTCTTTAATATACTCCCCATCACTGAGTGGCTTTCCATGTTGGACAATAACTTTTGAAACCTCAAAACCAGCAGCAACTAAGTTGGAACTTGGCCTACCTGAAATAAATTTCATCAAAACATCAGACTGTTTTTTTGTCTTAATCATTTCACGAGAAATTAAATTTAAACATTCATATAGCTGAACTTGGATTTTGCTAACCGATAAATTCTTTGCGAAACTGCAAAACTCGAAAAAATATATAAAATATTAATGATGGTAAAGGAGTCACACCACGTCTGGCCGCATGGCTAATTATTTAACAACAGAACGGGAAACAATCCTTCCACCCGCTGCCGCCAAGGCGGCATGCGGTTGCCATATAAAGGGTTTTTTTTATTGAGGTGAGCCCGGGTCTCGCGTGCCGGAAAGAAGCCGTATGGAGAGAGTTATACGTTATTGGATTTATTTTCCCTTTTGTTTCTTCGTTATTTTTCTTTTATTCGCTATTTTGTTATTTATTACTTTCTTGTATATTACTTATCTGCTCTTCACTACTTTCCTGGCTCTCCACTACTTTCCTGACTCTTCACTACTTTCCTGGTTCTTCACTACTTTCCTGACTCTTCACTACTTTCCTGACTCTTCACTACTTTCCTGACTCTTCACTACTTTTTCTTTCCGACTCTTCACTACTTTCCTGGCTCTTCACTACTTTCCTGACTCTTCACTACTTTCCTGCTACTTGGACTCTTCACTACTTTCCTGGTTCTTCACTACTTTCCTGACTCTTCACTACTTTCCTGACTCTTCACTACTTTCCCCGACTCTTCACTACACTACTTTCCTGGTTCTTCACTACTTTCCTGACTCTTCACTACTTTCCTGACTCTTCACTACTTTCCTGACTCTTCACTACTTTCCCGACTCTTCACTACTTTCCTGACTCTTCACTACTTTCCTGACTCTTCACTACTTTCCCCGACTCTTCACTACTTTCCTGGTTCTTCACTACTTTCCTGACTCTTCACTACTTTCCTGACTCTTCACTACTTTCCTGGTTCTTCACTACTTTCCTGACTCTTCACTACTTTCCTGACTCTTCACTACTTTCCTGACTCTTCACTACTTTCCCGACTCTTCACTACTTTCCCGACTCTTCACTACTGTCCTGGTTCTTCACTACTTTCCTGGTTCTTCATTACTTTCCTGTCTCTTCATTACTTTCCTGGCTCTCCACTACTTTCCTGACTCTTCACTACTTTCCCGACTCTTCACTACTTTCCTGACTCTTCACTACTTTCCTGGCTCTTCACTACTTTCCTGGCTCTTCACTACTTTCCTGGCTCTTCACTACTTTCCTGACTTTTCACTACTTTCCCGACTCTTCACTACTTTCCTGGTTCTTCACTACTTTCCTGACTCTTCACTACTTTCCTTATTCTTCTCTACTTTTCTGACTCTTCACTAGTCTACTGACCAGCCTCGAGTACAATGATGATGTACAGACGCCTTACCTCGAGTACAATGATGGACAGACGCCTTACCTCGAGTACAATGATGGACAGACGCCTTACCTCGAGAACAATGATGATGTACAGACGCCTTACCTCGAGTACAGTGATGGACAGACGCCTTACCTCGAGTACAATGATGATGTACAGACGTCTTACCTCGAGTACAATGATGTACAGACGCCTTACCTCGAGTACAATGATGGACAGACGCCTTACCTCGAGAACAATGATGATGTACAGACGCCTTACCTCGAGTACAGTGATGGACAGACGCCTTACCTCGAGTACAATGATGATGTACAGACGCCTTACCTCGAGTACAATGATGCACAGACGCCTTACCTCGAGTACAATGATGCACAGACGTCTTACCTCGAGTACAATGATGCACAGACGCCTTACCTCGAGTACAATGATGGACAGACGCCTTACCTCGAGTACAATGATGATGTACAGACGCCTTACCTCGAGTACAGTGATGATGTACAGACGCCTTACCTCGAGTACAGTGATGGACAGACGCCTTACCTCGAATACAATGATGATGTACAGACGCCTTACCTCGAGTACAATGATGCACAGACGCCTTATCTCGAGTACAATGATGCACAGACGCCTTACCTCGAGTACAATGATGGATGTCCCTGTACTAAAGAATACAAACCTCGGTTCCTATTTTCTTTCCATCTCTCATGTTTTATCCTTTTTGTTGATTCCTTCATTATTCACGGTTTCTGTCTCCCCCTCTGGTCCACCCAAACACGAAATTGGAGAAGGAGTAATGACCGATAAAGCAGATTCAGATACGTGTGAAATGTCCTAAGTTAATGTCTTCAGATAAGCGTGAATTCAATAATAGATTCAGATCGCCGTGAATGCCTTGACTTGTTAATTTTTGCGTGAGGGTTAATAAACGTCTCAATATCAGGATATATTAAGAGTAAGATTATTTATTCGGTGTTAATACCATGATGTAATACCTCATTAACCTCTATTAGACTCGAGAGATGTTATATACCAGGGTTTATCAATTGTTATATTTTATAAACGTAACCTAACCTAATCCTTTGAACACTATGATTTAATCACTGTAACTGCGTCGTCCGGAATCCTTTCATCATTATCGTTCTTGACCGCGGGAGGCAGTCGTTAGCGCAACCACAACTGATAAGACTTATCTTCTGAGCGGTTGAGTCCTCGGCTGTACCCAAGATTCTCTTATCGTAAACTGGTGCCTTGTTGACCCCAGGCACATGACCATACGATCTCCAGGAATTATAAAGGAACTGGTCGACACGGTGTAATTTCGCCTCATGTATAGTAGTATAGCGGGTGACGTGTATGTATGATATGTATAAATATTTGTAAAGCATGAAATATATAATAATAATAATAATAATAATAATAATAATAATAATAATAATAATAATAATGATATTAATAATGCGACATTCCAGAGACTCCTATTGGTACTATACTGTATACTAAAGATACATATCCCTTTAGTGAAGGACTTGAGGGGAATAAATCTGAATCCGTCACCCCTTATCCCCTTTCTTCTCTTTCCCTCTCCTCTTTTCCTCTCTTCTGTTCCCCTCCCCCCTCTCCTTCCCTTTATGAGACCCCCCCGTCCCTCCCTTCTCCCTGTTCCCTTTTTGGACCTCCTGGACAGGTGGATGTTCACAGGTAAGATAATTTACGTGTTAATTAGTGACACAGGTGTGGGTATTATGAACATTATATAGTGCCTGGATATCTTGGCGACATTATTTATTTATACATTGTTGAAAATATAAATAATGTAAACTATTTCTGAAGTATAGATCATTTATTAAAACATTGCTCGTCAGTATTAATTATGTAAACATTGCTTAAGTAAATATCATGGATTTAAACAGTGATTATGTAAGTTTTCTTCATTTAAACATTCTCTATATTTTTGTGTGACACTGAAACCTAGTGAGGCTAATACTAACACACACACACACACACAAACTCGTTCTCCAAGCAACATTCACACGACACACGACTGACTGCCGTTGGTGCTATACTGATGTAATGGTAACATGTGTGACACTCAGAGGTGCCAAATTTGACACCTGACACGGCTCGCTATGTCTCGTGTCATGTTTACTCTTCCGAGCGGTGTGTATTGTACAGTGTCTTGTAACTCGTATTAAATTGACCCATTTATATATTAAACATTTCAGGTTTTATAGTTAATACTTTAATATATTATACTTTTTAGATGTAGTGAGATAAAAGAGATAATGGTTGGACCTCAATATTTATAACAAAATAAACCTTTTTCTCTCTAACAAAAGGAATTTGTTTTAAACTGATGAATGTATTTACACAAGACGGAAATGATTCATCTGTGTATGCTTTATTTAGTGTTACTATACTGATCAGGTTAAGAGTGGAGGGGGCGAAGGAGTGTTATATGGATGGGGGTGGGAGGGGTGGGGAGATGAGGGGTGGGTGAGGGATGAGTGAAGGATGGGGTGAGAAGGGTGGGTGAGGGATGAGGACGGTGGTGAGGGATGGTGAGGAGGGTGGGTGAGGGATGGGTGAGACGGTGAGTGAGGGATGGGTGAGGAGGGTGGGTGAGAAGGGTGGGTGAGGGATGGGTGAGGGATGAGTGAGGGATGGGTGAGAAGGGTGGGTGAGGGATGAGGAGGGTGGGTGAGAAGGTGGGTGAGGAATGAGGAGGGATGGGTGAGGGATGAGGAGGGATGGGTGAGAAGGGTGGGTGAGGGATGGGTGGGGAGGGTGGGTGAGAAGGGTGGGTGAGGGATAGGTGAGACGGTGGGTGAGGGATGGTGAGGACGGTGGGTGAGGGATGAGTGAGGGATGGGTGAGAAGGGTGGGTGAGGGATGGGTGAGACGGTGGGGAGGATGGGTGAAGAGGAGGGTAGGTGAGGGATGGGTGAGACGGTGAGGAGGGATGGGTGAGGAGGTGGGTGAGGGATGGGTGAGACGGTGGGTGAGGAGGGTGAAGAGTGAGGGAGCAGTTCCATTCTAAGCAATTACCTTATACAGTCTGTTCGGGAGGGAAGCTACATTATTATACAGAATTTGTTGCCGATCTCAACACTAACACTGCCACTCATCTTCGGGTGTTGGAGGAGTGGCTGTGGTGTTGGAGGAGTCTCTGTGGTGTTGGAGGAGTGACTGTGGTGTTGGAGGAGTGGCTGTGGTGTTGGAGGAGTGGCTGTGGTGATGAAGAAGTGGCTGTGGTGTTGGAGGAGTGGCTGTGGTGTTGGAGGAGTGGCTGAGGTGTTGGAGGAGTCTCTGTGGTGTTGGAGGAGTGACTGTGGTGTTGGAGGAGTGGCTGTGGTGTTGGAGGAGTCTCTGTGGTGTTGGAGGAGTGACTGTGGTGTTGGAGGAGTGGCTGTGGTGTTAGAGGAGTGGCTGTGGTGTTGGAGGAGTGGCTGTGGTGTTGGAGGAATGGCTGAGGTGTTGGGTACTCGTCCGTCTCCCACAACCTAACGATAGGGTTGTGATCGCACCCTTTACTTAGCCACTCCACAAGTTGTATATCTGACCCCAAAATTCACTTCCCTCAAAACACCTTTTCTGGAATATACTTTTGGGGAGTTTTTTGAGGAATGAATTTTTTTGGTAAACATTTCATATCGCTCACAAACTATTGTCCGGAATACGTTATTTTGAGAGAGGTACAAGACCCAGGTAATTTTGATAAAGAGAAGGAAGAAGAAAGTAAATAACAAATTGTGAAAGTCAGTAACTGAATAAAGTTATGAATAATAAAATAAGAGATATTGAATTAAATAAGACATTGAGTAAAGTAGAAATATAATAATAATAATAATAATAATAATAATAATAATAATAATAATAATAATAATAATAATAATAATAATAATAATAATAATAATAATAATAATAATAATAATAGTTTTAATAATATTAATAATAATAATATTAATAATAATAATAATAATAATAATAATAATAATAATAATAATAATAATACGATAAATAAATTAATATAAAAAAAATCGATAAAAGACGAAAAATTAAACACCTTTTGGCTCTCCTCCTTAATACGAGTTCCTTAAGCTGCTTTGCATAATACCCCCAAGACTTTGAAATATAGAGACCATGCTTATCGATATGTCTTAAGACCTCGAGAGAGATAGAGACAATGTGTGTTCTCTCTCTCTCTCTCTCTCTCCTTTTCTCTTTTTTCTCTCTTTCTCTCTCTTTCTCTGCCTGCCTGCCTGCCTGCCTGTCTGTCTGTCTGTCTGTCGCGATATATTTACCAGGCAGTGAAACACAAAGAGTACTAGAGAGCTTAATCCAGCATATATAACCCATCTTTTTATTTTTGTCATGACCAAAACAATGACATCAAACTGATTAAAATGTACAGTGTTTTTTGTTTTGTTTTTGTTTTAAGAGATTTTATGAGTGAAATGAGTTTTGTTTGACGGTTGCTTTATTTTTTTGGTGTTTGTTATTTGTTGTATGTTAAAAATATAGTGATAATAATCCTGTGGAAAATTCAGTGTTTAATGAATGGACTCTCTCTCTCTCTCTCTCTCTCTCTCTCTCTCTCTCTCTCTCTCTCTTAATGGTTCAGTGGGTAAAGAACTCGCCTCATACCAAAATAACTATGGCTTCGATCCCTAGCCTAAGTACAGGAATAGGTTCATTTTTTATGTACTCTGTCTTGTACTATCAATAACACAATGAGTCCACTATCGAGTACACGTAGCAATGATAAAACTACTCTTAGGTGGACCAGACTTAGGTGGACCATACTTAGGTGTACCAGACTTAGGTGAACCAAACTTAGGTGTACCAGACTTAGGTGGACCAAACTTAGGTGGACCAAACTTAGGTGGACCAGACTTAGGTGAACCAAACTTAGGTGTACCAGACTTAGGTGGACCAAACTTAGGTGAACCAGACTTAGGTGAATCAAACTTAAGTGAACCAGACTTAGGTGAACCAAACTTAGGTGTACCAGGCATAGGTGGACCAAACTTAGGTCTACCAGACTTAGGTGAACCAAACTTAAGTGAACCAGACTTAGGTGAACCAAACTTAGGTGTACCAGACTTAGGTGGACCAGACTTAGGTGAACTAAACTTAGGTGGACCAGACTTAAGTGAACCAGACTTAGGTGGACCAAACTTAGGTGGACCAAACTTAGGTGTACCAGACTTAGGTGGACCAAACTTAGGTGAACCAGACTTAGGTGAATCAAACTTAAGTGAACCAGACTTAGGTGAACCAAACTTAGGTGTACCAGGCATAGGTGGACCAAACTTAGGTCTACCAGACTTAGGTGAACCAAACTTAAGTGAACCAGACTTAGGTGAACCAAACTTAGGTGTACCAGACTTAGGTGGACCAGACTTAGGTGAACTAAACTTAGGTGGACCAGACTTAAGTGAACCAGACTTAGGTGGACCAAACTTAGGTGGACCAGACTTAAGTGAACCAGACTTAGGTGGACCAAACTTAGGTGTACCAGACTTAGGTGAACCAAACTTAGGTGTACCAGACTTAGGTGGACCAAACTTAAGTGAACCAGACTTAGGTGAATCAAACTTAAGTGAACCAGACTTAGGTGAACCAAACTTAGGTGTACCAGACTTAGGTGGACCAAACTTAGGTGTACCAGACTTAGATGAACCAAACTTATGTGAACCAGACTTAGGTGAACCAAACTAAGGTGTACCAGACTTAGGTGGACCAGACTTAGGTGAACTAAACTTAGGTGGACCAGACTTAAGTGAACCAGACTTAGGTGGACCAAACTTAGGTGGACCAGACCTAAGTGAACCAGACTTAGGTGAACCAAACTTAGGTGGACCAGACTTAGGTGAACCAAACTTAGGTGTACCAGACTTAGGTGGACCAAACTTAGGTGTACCAGACTTACGTGAACCAAACTTAGGTGGACCAGACTAAGGTGAACTAAACTTAGGTGGACCAGACTCTCGCAGGGCGGTGTGGGAGTAAGTCAGTCTCTGATGAAAGGTAATATAAGTGAGGAGATAATCACCTGCCTCTGGACGCCTTCTGTCATATTAGTAAAGGAAAAAAAAGCGACAATATTTCAATCAGTGGCTTGTTATCATCCAGCGTTGATATGTTGCAGCTATTATGTCATCAGAGAGAGGGGGGGGGGAAGGGTGGGGGGAAGGGAGGGTGGGAGGGTGGGAGGGGTGGTTGAGGAGGTAGATAATGGGTGGGAGGAAGGAGAAGAGAAAGGGATTGAGGAGGAGGAGGTCTGGTTGAGAGTACGAAAAAGCAATATACGACTTCATATATCGCTATCGATATACAATATCTCCCACCATGGTTGTCCTCCCACTATGGTTGTCCTTCCACTATGGTTGTCCTCCCACTATGGTTGTCCTCCCACTATGGTTGTCCTCCCACCATGGTTGTCCTCCCACTATGGTTGGGGACCTTGTTGACTGGGAACCGGGGACCTCGTTGACTGGGAAACGGGGACCTTGTTGACTGGGAACCGGGGACCTTGTTGACTGGGAAACGGGGACCTTGTTGACTGGGAAACGGGGACCTTGTTGAGGGAACAAGGGACCTTGTTGACTGGGAACCGGGGTCCTTGTTGATTGGAAACCGGGGACCTTGTTGACTGGGAAACGGGGACCTTGTTGACTGGGAACAAGGGACCTTATTGACTGGGATCCGGGGACCTTGTTGACTGGGAACCGGGGAATTTGTTGACTGGGGAACCGGGACCTTATTGACCGGGAACCGGGGACCTTGTTGATTGGGGAATCGGGGACCCAATTGACTGGGAACCGGAGACCTTGTTGACTGGGGAACCGGGGACCTTGTTGACTGGGGAACAGGACCGGGACCTATTGACTGGGAACCGGGGACTTTGTTGATTGGGAACCGGGGACCTATTGACTGGGGAACCGGGGACCTAATTGACTGGGAACCGGAGACCTTGTTGATGGGGAACCGGGGACCTTGTTGACTGGGGAACCGGGAACCTTGTTGACTGGGAACCGGGGACTTTGTTGACGGGGAACCGGGGACCTTGTTGACTGGGGAACCGGAGACTTTTGACTGGGGAAACGGGGACCTTGTTGACTGGGGAACCGGGGACCTTGTTGATTGGGGAACCGGGGACCTTGTTGACTGGGGAACCGGGGACCTTGTTGATTGGGGAACCGGGGACCTTGTTGACTGGGGAACCGGGGACCTTGTTGACTGGGAACCGGGGACCTTGTTGACTGGGGAACCGAGGAAATTGTTGACTGGGAATCGGGGACCTTATTGACTGGGAACCGGGGACCTTGTTGACTGGGAACCGGGGACCTTGTTGACTGGGAACCGGGGACCTTGTTGACTGGGAACCGGGGACCCTGTTGACTGGGAACTGGGGGACCTTAGTGGGTTAAAGTCGTTGTTCTCACACCTGTTTTGCATATTGGTGAGCGGCAGTGCTAGAACCATCCTATGATTTAAAGCTTTGTAAAGTACAGGGTGTTTCATAAGTCGTTTACCATAGAAAGAATAAATGTTTTTCCTCATTTTCTTTTTTCTTTTTTTTCTTTTTCTTTTTTTTCATTCTTTTTTCTTAATCTTTTTTTTCTGTTTTTTTATCAGGTAAGGGGATTATAACATGAACGTTGATGATAAAGGAAGCAATTAACATAGAGCAGACCAGGAAAGGAGGCGGAGTAGCAATCTATGTTAGGGATAATCTGAAGTGTGAAATAAATAAGGAAATAAAAACTGAGCGGAATACAGAATCAATTTGGATAGAATTAAGCGACGGTAGGGAAAAATTAATCACAGGAGTAATATATAGACCTCCCAATCTTGATAAGAGTCAATGAGCGACTTATCTGGGATGAAATGCGCAGGGCTTCCATACACAACAAAGTCTGTATAGTAGGCGACTTTAACCTTGGCCAAATAGATTGGACTGACCTTACGGGTAACTCAGAATCAGAGGATTTTCTCGAGACGATCCAGGACTGTTTCCTAAGTCAACATATAACCGAACCCACACGGGGTAATAATATACTCGATTTAGTTCTGTCGAACAGAGAAAACCTCATTAGCAATGTCGAGGTAGGGAACGAACTTGCAAACAGCGATCACAAAGAAATTAGATATCAGTTAGATTTTCAGTTCAGACGTAAGGAAAATTCCACTAAAGTACCAGATTTCAGAAGGGCAAACTTTGACAGTTAAAAGAGTCAGCTGAGAGAGGGGGTGTCGTTCTTGGCCGTGAAACTGACAGATGACTCCGACCTGATAACGAGATCTGAGATTGCCGAGTTCCACGACAATTTAAATAATGAGTTACTTAATGCACAAAGGCAGAACATACCATACAAAAATCTCAGATCAGGCAACAATGACCCAAAATGGATAAATAATTATTTAAAGAACATCATTGGCCAAAGGAAGGCTATAGGTAGAAGGATAAAGCGTGGCGAAATTTACCTCCAGGATTATTATAAGATATTGGCGAGTAGGGTTAAAACCGAGATAAGGAAAGCCAAGAGGAATAATGAGGTAAGGATAGCAAGGGAGGCGAAGACAAGCCCCAAGGGATTCTATCAAATGTATCAAACTAAAACAAGAGAAAAGATTGGGCCAATACAGTCAGATACCGGCGAGGTAACTGATAACGGCAGAGAAATAAGCAAGAATCTGATTAAATATTTTTCAACAGTTTTCACCACCGAAAAGTTTAACATGATACCCGAGGCACTGACTCTATTCAGAGATAGTGAAGAAAACAAATTAAGCGAGATAGTAGTGACTAGTAACGATGTTAGTAAGCAAATAGACAAACTAAAGCCTAATAAGTCACCTGGTCCCGATGAGATATTTGCCAGAGTATTAAAGGAATGTAAGGAAGAGCTTAGTATGCCCTTAGCAAAGTTGTTTAACATGTCCGTAAAAACAGGTGTAGTACCAGAAAGCTGGAGGGTAGCGAATGTAATACCGATTTTCAAGAAGGGGGATAGATCACTATCCTCTAACTACCGCCCAATCAGTCTAACATCAATAGTAGGCAAATTACTGGAAGCAATCATTTCAAACTCTATTCGAAATCACCTGGAGAAGCACCGATTGATCAATGATTCCCAGCATGGCTTCAGAAGCGGACGTTCTTGTCTAACTAATCTATTAACATTCTTTTCATCAGTTTTCGAATCGGTGGACGAGGGGCACAATTATGATGTGGCATATCTCGACTTTAGCAAAGCCTTCGACAGAGTCCCCCACGAAAGACTAATTAGAAAGGTAAAAGCACATGGCATCAAAGGTAACATCCTTAAATGGATTAGGGCGTGGTTACAGGAGAGGAAACAGCGAGTGAGCATTAACAGCACTAAATCCCATTGGAGCAACGTCACAAGTGGAGTTCCCCAAGGCTCAGTACTTGGACCATTATTATTTATAATATACATAAACGACATAGATATCGGCATAGACAGCAACATAAGTTAATTTGTTGATGACACTAAAATATGACGTGTTATTAAATCTGATGTTATTTATTTATTTACTTAGACTTTAGCAAAGCATTTGACAGAGTACCGCATGAGAGGCTTCTGAGAAAAATTAAGGCTCATGGTATCGAGGGGAAAGTTTTAAATTGGATAAAATCATGGCTCACCGATAGAATGCAGAGGGTCAGCCAAGATGGTGTTAAATCTGAGTGGGGCCATGTAACCAGTGGGGTTCCCCAGGGGTCAGTACTAGGCCCACTCTTGTTCATAATCTACATAAACGATCTAGATACTGGGATCAGCAGTGACATAAGCAAGTTTGTGGATGACACCAAAATAGGGCGGCAGATTAATTCAGGGCAGGATGCAAATGCATTACAGGAGGATCTAAATAAACTGCAGGGGTGGTCTGAAAAATGGCAAATGAAATTCAACACCAGCAAGTGCAGCGTACTTAATATTGGAAGAACAAATACTGTCAATATATACAGTCTTAACAACATCAACCTAGAGAAGTCGACTTGTGAAAGAGACCTAGGGGTACTTGTAAGCCCGGACCTACGGCCTAGAAAACAGTGCGTTAATGTTCGAAATAGGCAAACAGAGTATTGGGCTTTATATCTAGACGTGTAAGTAACAAGAGTGCAGAGGTCTTATTGCAACTATGTCTTGCGCTAGTCAGGCCGCACCTCGATTATGCGGTTCAGTTCTGGTGCCCCTATTATAGAATGGATATAAATTCACTAGAGTCGGTGCAGCGAAGAATGACAAAATGATTCCGGGACTTAGAAACCTTCCATATCAGGATAGGGTTAAAGAAACTTAACTTGCATTCCCTAGAAAGACGAAGAGTGCGGGGAGATATGATAGAAGTATTTAAGTGGGTGAAAGGAATCAATAAAGGGGATATAGATAAAGTTCTTATAATATCCGAGCAGGATAGGACTCGGAGCAACGGATTCAAGTTGGATAAGTTTAGGTTTAGGAGGGAGATAGGAAGAAACTGGTTCACAAATAGGGTGGTGGACGAGTGGAACAAGCTTAGCAACTTTGTAGTAAGTGCGGGAACTCTGGAAAGTTTCAAAAGGAGGCTAGATAGATTCATGGATGATAGAGAGTGGTAGTAACTCTCGACAGGAGCTGCCATGCACAAGCCAACCGGCCTATTGCAGACTCCTTATTTTCTTATGTTCTTATGTGTGTGTGTGAGTGTGTGAGTGTGTGTGTGTGTGTGTGTGTGTGTGTGTGTGTGTACGTTCCTATGGAGGGGTGTGTGGCCATGATGGTGTGTGTTGTTATGGTGGTGTTTGTAGCAAGGTGTGTGTGTGTGTGTGTGTGTGTGTGTGTGTGTGTGTGTGTGTGTGTGTGTGTGTGTGTGTCTGTGTGTGTGTGTGTGTGTCGCCAACATTCACCTTAGACCTACATGGCCGTACAGGTGGTGTTCTTGGAGATAATAATCATCACTATCTTTAATTATTTCCAGTAAAGGGTAAATTAAATAGACAGTGTATCGTCGGCCTGAAGCCATAGTGAATCCGGGAACCTTGGGTCTAATATTTCCACGAATCTCGTTGTTGTCCAGAGTTCCCGAGACCACTGCAAAAAAGTTACGAGTAAGTCTTTCATGTTTTGTTTTCTTTTAAGTGTGGCTAATATTACAGCATACAGCCAGATAATAAAAATAAATGAAATAAGTTAAATAAAATAAGTTGGTTTCGTTCTTTCAATAAAAAATAATACAAAAATACCTGGTACTTGTCTCACCGCCGACCACTCAGTAAACACGTGTTACCAGATGAGCGAGTCACCCCTATGAAGAGCAACTTGTACCGATGCCCCTCCACTGTCGGATTAAACTGGACGGACTTTGTCAAAAACACCATAATTCACTGCTTTATAGGGAATGTGTCACGCCAGGGAGGACATCAACCCAATATTTGGTTGGACGACGCCCTCACGCCTCACGACCGATGATTTCCTTGGTCAGAATTTCCCTTCGTCCTCTCTGGTTGCTTGGGTTTATCCCCTATGCATCTGGGCTCAAAGTCGTGTCCTGCATAAATTCTTAACCGAAGCTGTCATCAGAGACACATTGTCGTCCCCTGATACACGCAAGGTGGTAGAGTGGTGATGGAGAAGAAGGTGGCAATATTTGTACACCAGGAGAGTCATTATGGGGTGTAGTATTAGTTCTTGTCTCTTTATGATTACTTAACAGAATCTCTCTCTCTCTCTCACACACACAACTTATAGGTTTTCACAGGTTTCGTTTTTTTCCTCTCCTAATAACTCAGCCAGCCGCTATTCCTCCGAGTATTGGCTGGTGTGTTTGTTGGTCCTCGTGTGTTTGTGTTTGTTGTTTGGTTTAGGATATGTTGTGTTTCGTCTGGGTGAGTTGAGGCAACCGCGGAGAGAGAGAGAGAGAAATGAGGGGAGATGAGAGGGAAAGACGGAGGAAGGATAAGAAGGAGAGAGGGAAGGAATGGTGGGAGAATAAAAGGGGAACGAGTTAGGGCGAATGGAAGAGAGGGAGGAAGGGAAGATGACAAGGAGAGAGAGAGGGAGGAAGGGAGGGAAAACGAAAGGGAGAGATAGAAGGATGGAAGAAGAATTTCCCGATACGAGGAGAAGAGATTTTTACCATTGTTTATTTTGCTGTGGTGGGCCAGGTAGGACGAAGGCCGGGTAGGAGGGGATCCAGGTAGGAGGGTGGGGCAGGTAGGAGGGTGGGCCAGGTAATAGGGTCGGCCAGGTAGGAGGGTGACAGGTAGGAGGGTGGGGCAGGTAGGGAGGGTGGGCCAGGTATTAGGTCGGCCAGGTAGGGGAGGTGGGGCAGGTAGGAGGGTGGGCAGGTAGGGAGGGTGGGGCAGGTAGGGAGGGTGGCCAGG